CCACCATGTTCCCTCCACAAAAGCGCTGGGCTTCATTGACCACACTGCTCCTCATGCTAACTTCATAATGAGAAAAAGGAAATGCCAGTTTCTGAATACATCTATTAACATAGCAACTGAACTCAAGGTTACAATGAACCATTATTCACTTACCCTCAGAGTGTAGGCTGTAGATCAGAACCAGCTCCGCTGTGTTCCCTTTCACACCGTGGAGGAGCCCCTGCCAAGGGGCTGACACATCAGTGCAGACTGAGGTGAGGGGTGGTCTCCCAGCTGAAGGGACCCCAAACAAAAGGCTCCTGCCATTTCATGGATCCCAAGGCTCAGGTAGCTCGAGTTCTAAAGAGCATCAGCATGATTACTCATTACAGTACTCATCCTGTACTGCTTCACACATGGTTTCAGAATAACTTTGCACATACCACTAGGACAACAGCCAAGTTTGAAATTGATTTCATGACTTGACTGTGGTCAGTTTTCCCCCACCCACCTCACTCTCGTGTCCAGCTGTGAGGGTTTATATTAATTACTGTAACCATGTGTTACTCCTTTTATTTTTCCTTCAGCAGTTTTGTTTTATTACATTTACTTTCTCTTTCCATTCCATATTCTTGTCTTTATTGGTTTAATTATATTTAGAAATACATAGAGTTGTCTTCATCAAGAGTTAAATAGTACATAAAACAGTGCTTTTAGAGGTTTGTTGTTCTTTCCTCAGTCTTCCTCTCCTTTTGTAGATACCCATGTACATTATTTGGTGATAGCTTTCCTGTGTTTTCTCTATTTTTTTTCCCTCTCCATGTTTTTTCTCATTTCTTCTTATTCTTTACCCAAAGTTCCCATACTAGCTTTCCCCTTTTCAGTTTTTTTCCTAAGTTAACATTATATCCAGAAATCCCTCCATGTCAATATCTAGTGATGGGTTTCACTCAGATTATAGCATGGTACAGCTGTTTGTACACATTGTTTACCATATATTATATATACATTATATACACACAATATATATATTGTCTGTAATTATGGTTTATTTAATTTTCTTTGCTTTAAATTTTATACACTTTTGAATATTTTACACTCACAAATATGATCTGTGTATCCAGGAAGGAACTTAGGGAATCTCTTTTGTGTGGCTTCTGATAATGATGTGCCTGACCATACTGCTGTGCTTCAACATCAAGATTCAGTGTCAAAACTCCCAGTGCAAGTATAGAAACATAACTCCCAGAGGAGAAAAGCACAGTAGTAAGTACAACAGTTATGTGAAGTGAAGTCGCTCAGTCGTGTCCGACTCTTTGCAACCCTGTGGACTGTAGCCCACCAGGCTCCTCCATCCATGGGATTCTCCAGGCAAGAATACTGGAGTAGGTTGCCATTTCCTTCTCCAGGGAATCTTCCCAAGCCGGGGATCGAACCCAGGTCTCCTGCATTACAGGCAGACGCTTTAACCTCTGAGCCACCTATAACAACAGTTAGCGATGCCTTTAAATTAAAAAAAAAATTAATCTCATTAGATTTTTCTATTTAGTTCAAAAATATGTGTTTGAGCATATGCTTGCTTGTGTTTGTGTGTTTGCTCAGTCCTCACAGACTATAGCCCAACTGCCAGGCTCATCTGCCCATGGAATTCTCCAGGCAGGAATACTGGAATGCGTAGCCATTTCCTACTCCAGGGGATCTTTCCAGCCCAAGGATTAAGCCCACATCTCTTATTCCTCCTGCACTGGCAGGCAGATTCTTTACCACTGTGCCACCTGGTTTGAGCATAAAATTCATAGTGTCACTTTGATGTAAATGTGACTGTGAAAGTTGCTCAGTCATGTCCGACTCTTCGCAACCCCAGGGACTATACAGTTCAAGGAATTCTCCAGGCCAGAATACTGGAGTGGGTAGCCTTTCTCTTCTCCAGGGAATCTTCTCAATCCAGGGATTGAACCCAGGTCTCCTGCAATGCAGGCAGACTGATTACCAGGTGAGCTACAAGGATAGTGATCTAAATGTGAATAATAGCCATGTGGCACTAGTGAGGAAGAATCCACCTGCCAGTGCAGGAGAGACCTGGGTTCAATCCCTGGATCAGGAAGATCCCCTAGAGTAAGAAATGGAAACCCACTCGAGTATTCTGGCCTGGGAAATCCCATGGACAGAGGAGTCTGGTGGGCTACAGTCCATGGGTTCACAAAGAATCAGACATGACTAAAGCGACTTAACATGCATGCATGTGAATAATATAAAACTGGAGAACAGGAACCATTTAACATTTGGTTGTTATTTATTGTTATAAGACTCCATCGTAGAGAGACTTTGCACTCAGTGTCCACCAAGGCCCGGTAACTACTTAGTTTTTCCAGTGGATTCTACACTTTTAGTCAGCAATAGGAGATTGGGGTCCAAAAGCTGGGCGGGGGGCATCTCTGATGTGTGGCTGTGTTATTTTGCCACAGGCTCCAATAGGCATCAGAGAGGTTGATGAGACCTATAACTTAAAAGGCAGTGGATTCAGGAGGGCAAGTAAGAAGGTTTCCTGTGTAGCCAGTTGGAGGACCTCCAGGGCCTCCTATAATCAGACCCCACTCAGCATACAGGTCTTTTTGGTAATCTGATTGGTGGGTGCTGTCATCAGGATGGCCATGTAGGGTGATGTGTGAGGACCAGTGTCTGAACAGTCCCACCAGTCACTGGGCATCTTTTGTATTGTTGGGGCTGAGAGCCTGAGCATGACTAAAACTTAGCAATTATTGCCTCTGAAGATACCCACTGTCGCTTCCCAGTTTATTCCCAGGAATTTCCTGAGTCATGGGTCCTTTTGCCTTGTCCATAGTAATGTGCTAGACACGTTGCTACATGTGGATCAAAATGGCATCCAGTCCTGGTTGTGTAGTATCCTTGCCTGGACCAAGTAGGAGACATTCTTTATAGGCGGGAGGCTCTGTGTGGGAATGAGACTTGCAGCCCATGGCCTTGTTGAAGGACATTAAAGGAGTATTGAAATGTATTACAGAAAAGGCAGACAGATCCTGATCATCTGTGTGGACAGGATTGCCCAAATGGGCATATGAATTCCTTCATACCTGTTTCCCTTAGCTTGGGCAAGAGCCTCTATGAAAGTCACAGTGTCAGTTAAGGCCACTGTCCTGATCTGTACCATAGCATTAAGCCGTAGTAAGTAGTCCTGTAGTCCTGTCCAGGCATGCAAGGCCAGTTGTATAGGTTTACTTAGTTACTGAATGGAGAAATAATTTCACAGAGATGTTTGGTTCACTTAAACTCATCAAACAGGGAAGGCATTCCTTTTTCTCTTCCTAATAGTTGTTCTGAATAGAAGTCTGTAGGCACTGGTAGTCTGGTAGGTTTGCAGTCTTCCATATGCCCCACTAAAATGACCCGGAGTGCAGCAGTGCTCATCACAGCTTGGGGTTGATGTGAGTTGGCGTTCACATAGAAAATGCATCTGCACTAATGATGTATTCAGTAGTGGGAGCTAAGAAACAGAGGTTTATAATGCCCAAAGGCTCCTGCACTATGGTCAGGTGTAAGTAAGGGTCAAAAAACATTACTGTGTTCTTCTCATCCTGGTGTCAGAGTTGTGGAGATAACAGTCATTGGTAAAGTAGAAGCCAAATGGCCTAAGGTATGCAATCTTCCCCCACTGCCACTTTGAACTCCGATTTGGCATACATCATCAGATGCCACTGGGGATATAAGGATAATGGTCTAATCCCTAATCATGTTTATTTTGAAAAGTCAAGTATTCTAGGTAAAAATAGGCAGAGTTGTGGAATTCATCTTAGGATCACTGCCAGTGTAGGGGAGCAGAGGGAATATCGCATTATTAGTACTAAGCATCATCACTGTTTTGATTCTCATGAGGCTGTTTTGGCCCCCATGGTTCACTTTCTGGCACAAGATGAGTGGTGGAAAGTCCATCCATCCCTTCCTTGAGCCTCCATTGCTGGGTAAATAGACAGTGTCTCCAGTGGCAGGGAGCTCACCATGACTGGACAGAAGTTTTCAGAAACAGTCAGGAGAGGAAGGAGATTGTCTCAGGTGTTTGTGTCTTTTCTTCCTCATCCCCTCCCTTGTCCTCCTTGGACACAGTGGCCCCTGTTAGGAAACTCAGAACCAGGCGTTCTGTTAAGACACAGCCAGCAAGGTGCCAGTGTCCCACACTAAGTTAACAAGAGTAACTCCTCTACAGTGGAGTCTATATGGTTTCCTCTGGTTGCTGGTCAGGTGGAACTGAGAAACCTGGATTCTTTTTCTTTAGACATGATCCTCAAAACCTCAGTATATCTTGGAGTATCCATCAGTGTCAGAGATAAGCTGAGAGCAAATAGCAGTCACTGGGTACAACTCAGTCAGCCATGTCTGCAGCGACTAATTGACCCACTATATTAGTTTTTGATTTTTATTTCCTATATTTCCTTTTTAAAATATTAATACCTTTACCACTTTTTTCAAGTCCCTTTTCTTCATTTCTTCCTTCCTCCTGCCTTCCTGCTTGCCTGCCTGTAGCATACTACATGTTCTGTGTCAGGTTGTTTGTTGCCTGTTAAGAATTAAATCCTAGAAATGCTTCCGAGTCAGCTTGTTGGGTCTTCTTCATTCCTTTTATACCTGTTTGTACAGCTGTGTATGCCACATTATATCCCATAGTCTGTATTTTCTTAGTCTACATGCATTACTTTAGCCTACCAATCTCCTATGCTTAAGTGGTTTTGACTATTTCGCTGTTAATGAATAATTTGTACGTGTATATTTTCATTGTTTGGTGTTTCAATATGTATTACCTGAAATATTTGGAAAACTCAGAAAATGAGAGACTAGTATAAAACATATTAGAAGTCTAAGACTATTAATGATGTGCTAAAATGCCTTCCATGCACCCTTGATAACATTCTTCCCAGTTTTCTTGTAAAACCTGGCATTTGGTGATGTTCTTATAATTTCATAAAAATGAAGTTTTTTATTCAGTGGGCCAAATTCTTCTCTTTATGCAGCTCAGGATGAAGTACCAGATAGAAACCGTATTCTTGATCATGAAGACTCAGTGTCAAAATCAGAGATTCAAGTGAGGAAACCAAGCTTGCACAAAGGGGAAAGACTTACTGGTAAGTACAAAAACTATGGAAAACCTTTCATTATTTTATATTAAATTCACTTGGTTCATATTATATATTTTTGAACGTGTATTTTATAGAAATGTTATACTTCGACTAAAGTGTGACTACCATGAGATATCTAGAGAAAAAAAGCAGAAATATTGTTAAACTTTGATTGGAATTTCTGTTCTTAAGATTATTTTGTGATTAGAAGATGAATGCCCCAAGGCCCAATAGCAGGTGAATAACTGTCTCTCCAAAGTAGAGTGCCTTTCAGTCAGCTCCAGGTAATTATGGATACAGAAGCCCAACAGATGCTTCTATGCATGGCAGAGGCATTTTGCCATAGATTCCTTTGCCAAAGCAGTATTTCTGAGATCTGTAAATCAAGCATCTGGTGGGTTCTGGAGGCCCTGTTGGAGGGCCTTTAGGGCCTTAGCTGTGTCCTCACTAAAAGGATGCAGCTTTTCTGGTAACCCCAGAGATCAGAGTCATTAAGAGCTCCACATGGGGAAATGAGAATGCAGGTGGTCAAAGAGTCCCACTGTTTGCCGGGCCTGTTTTATTTGTTGGAGCTGAATAGTTGGCATTCCTATGCTCTGGAATGAGAGGTCATACCCCTTAGAGATCATGCCCAGGAGCTTCACTAGGTTACCAGGTCATTAACTGGGTATACTAATGGCCCAGCCAAGAGCTACTGGCGGTTCCACAGGGCATCTAGTCCTTGTCTTGGCCCACTAGTCCTCTCTGTGGGAGCAGGTGCTTCAAAGTCATGACCTGTGCACTGATTACTGATACCTGAGCAATTTGATGGCTATATGAAGGACATAAGTGCTCATGTAACTAGAGTTATGGAACAGTTTTACCACAATTACTTGTTTGCTCAATCCTGTAATGATTCTCAAATGGCTTCAGAATAGCTTTGCACACCACTTGATAAACAAACCAAATTTTAAAAATATTTCATGACTTGCTGTTATTCTCCTTGCCCATTCTCATCTCAATCCCATGTCCAAGAGTGAGGGTTTATGTTAAATACTATATTGAGAAGTTACCACTTCTATTTTGCCTTCAGTTGTTTGATTTCATAAGTTTGCTTTCTCTTTATATTTGATCTTCTTACCCTTACTGGTTTAATTATGTTTTGAAATACATAGAGCATGAACCTACTTCCAAAACTTAAAAAGTATATAAAGAGCTATGCTTAGAAGCTTATTATTCCTTCCTCAGTTTTCCCTCTCATCTTGTAGGTAACCATGTACAGTGTTTTGTGATAGGTTTCCTGTGTTCCCTGTGTTTTTTCTCTCCATCCTTGTTTTTTCATATTTCTTTTTTCTTATCCATACTAGTTTTCCTTTTTTTAGTTTTTTTAAACTTAACATTGTTCCTGATGATCCCTCTAAGAAATCCCTTTAAATCAGTATACAGAGATTCATTTCACTCAGATTATAGCACTGCATACAGCTGTACCACAGTATTTATCATCATTTGTATTACTCCATAGTGGATAGCATGTACCCTGGTTTATTGAACTAATGTTCTTTGCTTTAAAATGTATATGGTTTTGAATATTTTGCACTTACAAATATGTTGTATTCAGTAACCATGTACATACTCATTTGTATTTTTAGTTCTATGAATTTGTATAAGTCTGAAGTATAAACAGGACTTCCTAGGAGGTGCAGGGGTAAAGAATCCACCTGCCAGTGCAGGAGATGTAAGAGACACGGTTCAAGCTCTGAGGCAAGAAGATCTCCTGGAATTGGAAATGGCCACCTACTCCAGTATCTTTGCCTGAAAATTCCATGGACAGAGGAGCCTGGCAGGCTACAGTCCATGGGGTCCCAAAGAGTTGAACAGGACTAAGCAACTGGATATACACACAAAGTATAAATAATCTAGGAAAAATAGAGACTTTGTATACGGATGTTTCTATGTATGTATGTATATTACATTGTTTGTTACAGCTTCTTTAAAGTATATTCATTAAAAATGTTCTCACAATTTCTAGTCACATGTTATTTATGGTAATTTACTTATGTGTGCTCAGTTGCTTCAGTTGTGTCAGACTCTTTGCAATCCTGTGGACTATAGCCTGCCAGATTCCTCTGCCCATGGAATTTTCCAGGCAAGAATACTGGTGTAGGGTGCCATTTCCTTCTTTAGGGGATCTTCCTCACCCGGGAATCGAACCGGCATCTGCATCTCAGGCAGATTCTTTTCCACTGAGCCACTGGGGAAGTCCCAAAGTGAAAGTAAAAGTCGCTCAGTCATGTCCAGCTCTTTGTGACCCCATGGTCTCCAGGTCAGAATACTGCAGTGGGTAGCCGTTCCCTTCTCCAGGGGATCTTCCCAACCTAGGGATTTAACCCAGGTCTCCCACATCGCAGGCAGATTCTTTACCAGCTGATCCACAAGGGAAGCACAAGATTACTGAAATGGGTAGCCTATCCCTTCTCTGGTGGATCTTGCCAATCCAGGGATCAAACTGGGGTCTTCTGTACTGCAGGAGGATTCTTTATCAGCTGAGCTGCCAGGGAAGCCCGATTTACTTAACTTTATCTAAATGAGAGAAAAATTCACTGTATACTTACTGTAAGTATGAAACCTAGAGATTTTATTGTAGATCTGATCATAACAAACACCCTCTTCTAACAACACAAGAGAAGACTCTACACATGGACATCACCAGATGGTCAACACCAAAATCAGACTGATTATATTCTTTGCAGCCAAAGATGGAGAAGCTATATACAGTCAGCAAAAACAAGACCGTGAGCTGACTGTGGCTCAGATCATGAACTGTTTATTGCCAAATTCAGACTTAAATTGAAGAAAGTAGGGAAAACCACTAGACCATTCATATATGACCTAAATCAAATCTCTTACAATTATACAGTAGAAGTAAGAAATAGATTGAAGGGATGAGATCTGATAGACAGAGTGCCTGATGAACTATGGATGGAGGTTCGTAATATTGTACAGCAGACAGGGATCAAGACCATCCCCAAGAAAAAGAAATGCAAAATAGCAAAATGGCTGTCTGAGGAGGCCTTACAAATAGCTGTGAAAAGAAGAGAAGCCAAAAGCAAAGGAGAAAAGGAAAGATATACCCATTTGAATGCAGAGTGTCAAAGAATAGCAAGGGTGATAAGAAAGCCTTCCTCAGTGATCAGTTCAAAGAAATAGAGGAAAACAATAGAATGGGAAAGACTAGAGATCTCTTCATGAACATTAGAGATACCAAGGGAACATTTCATGCAAAGATGGGCTCAATAAAGGACAAAAATGGTATGAACCTAACAGAAGCAGAAGATATTAAGAAGAGGTGGCAAGAATACACAGAACAACTATACAAAAAAGATTTTCATTACTCAGATAATCACAATAGTGTGATCACTCACCTAGAGCCAAACATCCTGGAATGAGAAGTCAGGTGGACCTTAGGAAGCATCACTACGAACAAAGCTAGTGGAGGTGATGGAATTCCAGTTGAGCTATTTCAAATCCTAAAAGATGATGTTGTGAAAGTGCTACACTCAATATGCTAGCAGTGGAAAACACAGCAGTGGCCACAGGACTGGAAAAGGTCAGTTTTCATTCCAATCCCAAAGAAAAGCAATGCCAAAGAATGTTCAAACTACTGCACAATTGTACTCATCTCACACACTAGTAAAGTAATGCTCAAAATCCTCCAAGCCAGGCTTCAACAGTATGTGAACTGTAAAATTCCAGATGTTCAAGCTGGTTTTAGAAAAGGCAGAGGAACCAGAGATCAAATTGCCAACATCCACTGGATCATTGAAAAAGCAAGAAAGTTCCAGAAAAACATCTATTTCTGCTTTATTGACTATGCCAAATTCATTGACTGTGTAGATCAGAACAGACTGTAGAAAGTACTTCAAGAGATGGGCATACCAGACCACCTGACCTGCCTCTTGAGAAACCTGTATGCAGGTCAGGAAGCAACAGTTAGAACTGGACATGGAACAACAGACTGGTTCCAAATAGGAAAAGAAGTATATCAGTTACTCCTTGGAAGGAAAGTTATGACCAGCCTAGACAGCATATTAAAAAGCAGAGACATTATTTTGCCAACAAAGGTCCATCTAGTCAAGGCTATGGTTTTTCCAGTGGTCATGTATGGATGTGAGAGCTGGACTATAAAAAAGCTGAGTGCCGAAGAATTGATGCTTTTGAACTGTGGTGTTGAAGAAGACTCTTGAGAGTCCCTTGGACTGCAAGGAGATCCAACCAGTCCATCCTAAAGGAGATCAGTCCTGATTGTTCATTGGAAGGACTGATGTTGAAGCTGAAACTCCAATACTTTGGCCACCTGATGCGAAGAGCTTATTCATGGAAAAGATCCTGATCCTGGGAAAGATTGAAGGCGGGAGGAGAAGGGGATAACAGAGGATGAGATGGTTGGATGGCATCACCGACTCAATGGAGATGAGTTTGGGTAAACTCCAGGAGTTGGTGATGGACAGGGAGGCCTGGCATGCTGCAGTCCATGGGGTAGCAAAGAGTCGGACACAAATGAGTGACTGAACTGAACTGACGTATCTATGAAGGAATTTAATGAATCTATTTTGTGTAGCTCCTGATGATGTGCCTGACAATGCTCCTGTGCTTCAGCATCAAGATTCAGTGTCAAAACTCCCAGTGCAAGTACAGAAACAGATAACTTCCAGAGGAGGAGGACAAAGTAGTAAGTACAACAGTTATAGATGCCTTTAATTTTTTAAAAAATTAATCTGACCTGATCTTTTTTCTTTAGTTCATGAATATATGTTTGAGCACATATAGCAATTTTGCACTTCAAATGTGAATAATATAAAAAATTAGAGAACAGGAACCATTTAACATTTGCCTGATATTTCTTGTTATAAGGCTCCATTGTAGAGACACTTCTTGGTTAGTGACCACCAAGGTCCAGAAACTGCTCAGTAATCTTTCAAAAAGATTCTATACTTGCAGCCATCAGTAAGAGATTAGGGGTCCATAAGCTGGGTGGGCGCCTCAGATGTGTGACTATGTTCTTTTGCCACAGGCTCCAGTAGGCATCAGAGAGACCTGTAACTTAAAAGCCAGTGGATTCAAGGGGTCAAGGAAAAGGTTTCCTGTGTAGCCATTTAAAGAGTCTCCAGGCCCTAGTCAGCATACAGGTCTTTTTGATAACCTGGTTGCTGGGGGCTGTCATCAAGATGGCCATGTAGGGGGATGTGTGAGTACCAGTATCTGAACAGTCCCACCAGTCATCGGGCATCCTTTGTATTTGTAGGGGCTGAGAGCCTGAGCGTGACTAAAACTCAGGCAATTTTTGCCTCCCGAGAGAGACCTACTCTCCCTTCCCAGTCAGGAACTTCCCATGAGTCTTGGGTCCTTGTTTCTTGTCCTAGTAATGTCCTAGACATGTTGCTACATATAGGTCAAAATGGCATCCAGCGTTGGTTGGGTAGTACCCTGCCTGGACCAACTAGGAGACATTCTTACTCTGCGGAAGGCTAGTCCTCCATCTGGGAGTGAGATTTCCTGGTCATGGCCTTGTGGAAGGACATTAAAGGAGTATTGATAAGTATTACAGAAAAGGCAAACAGATCCTGAACATCTGTGTGGACAGGGATCTGAAAAGGGCATTTGCAATAAGAATTGATTCACACCTATCTTTCTGAACTTGGGCAAGAGCCTCTATGACAGTCACAGTGTCATCAGGTAATGATGTTTCCAAACATTGTTCTACACTGTTGAGTGACTGAGGACTGAGTTTCCAAGTACCCAAGGCCTTTTTGGGAAGCTCAGATAATGAACCTGGGCTTCCTAAGCACAGCAATAGTGGTAGTTTTCTTGTTGTTTTTGTTTGTTTTTAATTGATGAGTCTGTTAATGCTCTTTTTGAGGGACAAAACTTCTAGCTGGTAGTTTGGTAGGTTTGCTATCTTCCATATGTCCCACTAAATTTGTCTTAACTACAGTAATTTTTTTATGGCTTGAATTAGATGCTGTCAGGTATGCATATCAACAAAATATCTCTAATAATAATCCATTCAATAGTAGTGCCACAATAATGATATGTTATATCTGTAGTCAAGCTTGGTAGGGGTCTTGGTGGCGGTGGCTTCTGACAGGAAATCAGAGCCTTATCCATTTCTCCTCATTCTCATCCCAGGGATTTTGGGGGTCATAGTCAGCTGTGCATCATTATCCCAAAAGTCCAAGATATGCAGTTCTTCCCCATGTGTACTTTGAACTTTGATCCTTTCACAGGACCTCATTTCCTCACTTTGTGCATAGGACATTTCATAGTCTTGTTTTTTTTTTAAATCTAAAAAGTTTATGTAAAAATTGGTAGGACTCAATGATTCATTTTAGAATATCCTGGGAGAAGGAGAAGGAACAGCGCTTCTATTAGTTGTAGCAATCATTACCAGGCAGACCTTAGGGAGGGTTGCCATTTGGCCTCTAAAGGACCCCATGAACTGTAGCATGCCAGGCTTCCCTGTCCTTCACCATCTCCCAGAGCTTGAAAGGACATGAGTTACTAGTTTCTAAGTGGAGAACCCATTGATCTCTTCTTTTGCACTCCCATTGTTTAACAAGACCCAGAGGTTTATTTGGAAACCTACCAGATCCTCCAGTTACATGTGCCCAGTTACCATTTTAATGTCACTTTCTGTGATGATCTCTCTTTGTTATTTTGGCCGTAGTTACATTTACCCTGCCCAGGAATTTGTCGGTTAACATCTGGATTATGTCACTGACAAATGGATCTAACTTTCCGAGGAGGTTTATTTGAGCTAGATAACCAGCAGGAATGGCACTAATTAACCTACAGTCTTGTTATTAATGACAATCTCATTATCTATCACTGTCACTCTCTCCTTATAGAATCTGGGGACCACCAGTATAGTTTGCAGAAATGCTGTCCTCTCAAAGCTTGGTCTAAACATGTGTTTTGGTCATAGGGAGCCCATCACTGTTGGGCCAAAGCTGTCAGAGTCCAAATAGTTCCCAGATGAGGAAGAAGGATGTAGATTTTCCTCTTAGCCTCCTTGATCAAATTTTCTGCTCTCAAGACACTCTTAAACAGGTCTACCCACACAGTAACACTGCTCTTGCTAACTTTAAGAAAATTACCTCCTTGAAATTGATGGTTATTCCATACTTTGCTTGCTTGAAAATTTTATGAGTTAGTAAAATTATTAGACTAGAAGTAGAAAGTGTTGAAGAAAAAAAAAGTAGGGTAAAAAAGATTCCTACTTCATCATGCAAGTGAACGACCCAAGTCTCATACAGATGGCAAAAAAACACATGAAAAGATGCTCAACATCACTCATTATCAGAGAAATGCAAATCAAAACCACAATGAGGTACCATTATACGCCAGTCAGGATGGCTGCTATCCAAAAGTCTACAAGCAATAAATGCTGGAGAGGGTGTGGAGAAAAGGGAACCCTCTTACACTGTTGGTGGGAATGCAAATTAGTACAGCCACTATGGAAAACAGTGTGGAGATTTCTTAAAAAGCTGGAAATAGAACTGCCATATGACCCAGCAATCCCACTTCTGGGCATACACACCGAGGAAACCAGATCTGAAAGAGACACGTGCACCCCAGTGTTCATTGCAGCACTGTTTATAATAGCCAGGACATGGAAGCAACCTAGATGCCCATCAGCAGACGAATGGATGAGGAAGCTGTGGTACATATACACCATGGAATATTACTCAGCCATTAAAAAGAATTCATTTGAATCAGTTCTAATGAGATGGGTGAAACTGAGCCCATTATACAGAGCGAAGTAAGCCAGAAAGATAAAGACCATTACAGTATACTAACACATATATATGGAATTTAGAAAGATGGTAACGATAACCCTATATGCAAAACAGAAAAAGAGACTCCGATGTATAGAACAGACTTGTGGACTCTGGGAGAAGGCAAGGGTGGGATGTTTCAAGAGAACAGCATCAGAACCTGTATATTATCTCGGGTGAAACAGATCACCAGCCCAGGTTGGGTGCATGAGACAAGAGCTCGGGCCTGGTGCACTGGGAAGACCCAGAGGGATCGGGTGGAGAGGGAGGTGTAAGGAGGGACCGGGATGGGGAATACATGTAAATCCATGGCTAATTCATTTCAATGTATGACAAAAACCACTGCAATGTTGTAAAGTAATTAGCCTCCAACTAATAAAAATAAATGGAAAAAAAAAAGAATAAAAAAAAAAAACCCAAGTCTCTAAGGTCTCTTTATATCATGGACAATGTAATCTCAAAGCATTTTATATTCATTTAATTCAATCATGAGTCTCAGTAACTTGCTATATTGTAGGTTCTCCATTGTTGTTGGTGCTGTGTGCTATGCCTAGTCGCTTGATTATGTCTGACTCTTTGCAACCCCATGGACTGTAGCCCGCCAGAATGGGGACCTCATTAAAATTGACAACTGTTGGGTGCAACTTAGCTTGCAGAGGATGTGACAATTTTTAATACTGTCATCAGAGGACAAGGAGTACCTAGGGATTGCTTCCATAAATTTCCCAGAGTACCTCTGTTAAATCACTAATTTTATCCACCAGGCATTTGGCAGGTATTCTGGGGCTAAAGAGAAGGACCTTCATTACCCCTCTAGCCCAGGAAGCTTGCATAAAAACTCTGCTAGCCCTCTCCAAGAGTGACCCCGGGCATTCCTGTTGCAGCACTTCTTGAGACTCATAGCTGTGGCTAGCAAAGTGCATTGTTGGACCTCAGACTCTTGCAATTGACCAGCTAGTACTACCCAACAGGCCTTGTAGTCCTCTCTAGTATCTCTCCAAAATGCCATGGGGGATCTTCATGTTTTTTACTTTTCCAGAAAGACATTGTGCTTAATTGGGCCACCCTGCTTGCCACCATTTGTCACTAGAAGAGAGATATCAGTTGTGAAGCTGAGCTGTAAAGACAGTGAACCAAATTGAAAGTAAAAAGCCTTTATTCACTTACTGCAATAATTAAATAGGAGTCTCAACATGAAAGGGCATGAGTTCTACTGGTGTTCCCACCAGTCTTTATTTTTCCCATGACGTATGGCAAGCATCTGATGTATTGATAATAGGGGAGGGGAATGTCTCATTCCAGGTACAGATATTTGCACTCATCACATCACATCACCTGTACACCATGTATACTACAATTTATATACATATATCATCATATACTATAATTGGTACTATGTTAATTTTTCCAGTTTTATTGAGATATATTTGACATGTACCATTGTGTAAGTTTAAGATACACAGCATAATGATTTGATTTACATGTATTGTGGAAGGTACTATACTATTGTTTGAACACTTAGATGATTTTGAATATCTTGTGGTTACAAATAATGCTATAATGACCAACCTTATGCACAAGTATTTTCATTGGTTTGTCTGTACATATATATTATCCTAAAACATAACTAATTTATGAACATTAGAATCTAAGATAAACATATTGATACCTGAGAATATTTATAAAACAAAGAGACAGCTTCAATAAATATCCATTAAAAATACTCTGTAAGTTTTCATATCAGATCTAGTGTTATGATAATTTACTTAGGACTTTATAAAAGTGAGAGAAAATGTTTCTGAGTTTAAAATCTAGAATTTTTACAGTCGAAATTTTTCCTATTAAGAGACTTAATTTATCTGTTTATATAGCTCCTGATAAAGTGCCAAGTGGAAATCTTGTACTTGAATATGAAGATTCAGAGTTAAAAAAACAAGCACAAGTAAAGAAACAAAGAACTTCCATAGGAGAAAGACTCAAGAGTAAGTATGATAATTAGCAATAATCTTATATAGTTTTAAGTTAAATATGTCAGAAGAGCTTTATTTGGTTCATAAATATGTGTTTGAACAAATATCTTGTAGAAATTTAAAACTTTGACATAAAATATGATAACCCTGACAAAACTATAGAACAAAAGCAAATGTATTATATGTTTTGGTTGCAATTTCTTATCCTAGGATTGTTATATGACCACGGTCATGCTCTTCTTATTCACCAACACCAATAATAGACCTCGTAGAGAATATATACTTTTTAGCCAACTCTGGCAGATTATGGACTCAAAGCCCAGTGAATGACTTTGAGGTGTAGTAGTGGCCATAGATTGCCATACGCAAAGAGAGATGTTACTGAGGTTTCTAACTGAAACAGTGCTTAGAAATCAGAGGGCTCCATGAAAAGGGTACATAGGGCAGTCAGCTGAAGGGCTTCCAGCAGGTCCTGCATCAAGGCCCCAAGCAAACAGGGGTCTTTGTGGGAACCTGATGAGTGCTAGGTGATCCTGTGAGAGTGAGGCTGTGTCTGTGTAGTCCCACCAGTTACTCTGATGATTTTTATTTTGGAGGCAGAGAGGGTCAATCAAAAGCATGACAGTCATTTTCTCTGGACTTTGCCCCTTACAGATCATGCTCAGGAATTTTACTTCAGTTTTGAGTCCTTATACCTTAATAACGGCCTAGTTGCATCCTACTTGTAAGCAAATAGAACATCCTGTTCTTTTTGGATAGTGCCCTTGCCTGAGCCCACTAGGGTGATTTCATTGAAAAAGTGGAAGGCTAGCGTTCCCTCCGGGAGCAGGACTTTTCCCAAGTCTTAACCTATGCATTGATTACAGATAGAGAATTTAGGGAGTCTCATGGGAAGATCTTGGTGGTGCACTATAACCCATACTGCGTATATCAGACTAGTCCTGATCATCCACGTGGAGAGTGATGCTGAGAAGGGCATCTGTGATGTCAGCTGCAGTGTACCAAGATTCTTTATCTTGAATGATATTCTCTCTGAGTGTCACAATGTCAGGTACCACTGGTGCCAGAGACAGCTCTAATGCTTTGTGTAGCCCTAATCAATTTAGAGTCTGGGCATCAAAGTTCTTGTACACAGGCCATGTGGAGTTACTGAACGGAGAAATAATTTACAGATAGTGTTGGCCTATGAAAGCTCAACAGTGAGGATGGTTGCTCCTTTTTTTCCCCAAGGCTGGTAACTTTATTTTTGGTATACTGAGGTGCTAGTTGACAATAGTTTGGTTGGTCATAATCTTTAACATACTCCATTAAAATACCCTAACCTCAGTAAATCTCATGGCGAGGGTGGGGTGGGGGTTGTGCTGGTTGATATAAAAAGTACATTTCTAACAATAATGTATTCAGTAGTAGAAACCTCAATAATTGGGGTTTGTAGAGGTCCAAAGTGTATTTACTCATAGTTGTGTCTGGAAAAGAGTTGTGGTGGTGAAATAAAACTATACAGAATTATCTGTTTCCTCCTCACCCTTCTATAATGGGTATGGGAATCACAGAAATTTGTTCACCAGTATCCAAAAGGCCCAAGAAATGCAATTTTTCCCCTCCTTACTTGGAACTCTGTAAGGGTATGTCCTCAGGTCCCTGCTGGAGACATAGAGACCTTGTCTAATGTCTAGTTATATTTATTTATGAAAGCCTAGAGGCCTGAGTGAAAGTAGGAAGGATCTGTATTGATGGATCTTACAGGTGCCATTGTTACTAAGTTAAACAAAATTACCTCCTCCATCAATGAATCAAACCACCCAATACACATAGTATTTTTAACTTGGATCCATACTCCTTAGTTTTTATACACATGTACATATATTCATAGACACATACATATGTGTGCATGTGCACATAAATATGCATATGTTCCTGCATACCTATATTCAAGAAATCATAAGGACTATCAGACACCTTTAGTTTTAGTCTCTCAGGTCTGTTTGCCTTCCTTCATTTCATGTGTGTTTCTTCCATGGTGTTAAACCTGACTCTTAAAACATCAGCAGATTTATATATTTGCTCCAGTCCTGCAGTGCTTCCACCCCTGTTACAGAATTACTTACCATGTACCAAGAGAAAAGCCTATTAAAAATATTTAGTGATTTGGTTTCTGTCTGTCCCCCATACTCTTGCCTAAGATTGAGGGTATGTTTCAAACCCTGTGTTTATGACTAATTGGGGTCACTGTTGTTTTTTTTAACCCTTCAGTAGGTTCATTTCATTTGCTTTCAGTTTTCATTTCCTCTTCTTATCCTCGTTGATTTAGTTCTATTTTTGGAATGTATGCAACTCATTGACCTACTTGCCAAAGGTATACATAAGAGCATCATTTCTTTCCAGTGTGTCCCTGTGCATTCCCTAGTCCTCACTCTCTCCCTTTATTCTTTTTTTTTCCATTTATTTTTATTAGTTGGAGGCTAATTACTTTACAATATTGTAGTGGTTTTTGCCATACATTGACCTGAATCAGCCATGGATTTACATGTGTTCCCCATCCTGAACCCCCCTCCCACCTCCCTCCCCATCCCATCCCTCTGGGTCATCCCAGTGCACCAGCCCCGAGCACTTGTCTCATGCATCCAACCTGGACTGGCAATCTGTTTCACACTTGATAATATACATGTTTCGATGCTGTTTTCTCAGATCATCCCACCCTTGCCTTCTCCCATAGAGTCCAAAAGTCTGTTCTATACATCTGTGTCTCTTTTTCTGTCTTGCATATAGAGTTATCCTTACCATCTTTCTAAATTCCATATACATGCATTAGTATGCTGTATTGGTGTTTGTCTTTCTGGCTTACTTCACTCTGTATAATGGGCTCCAGTTTCATCCATCTCATTAGAACTGATTCAAATGTATTCTTTTTAATGGCTGAGTCATATTCCATTGTGTATATGTACCACAGCTTTCTTATCCATTCATCTGCTGATGGGCATCTAGGTTGCTTCCATGTCCTGGCTGTTATAAACAGTGCTGCGATGAACATTGGGGTACACGTGTCTCTTTCAGATCTGGTTTCCTTGGTGTGTATGCTCAGGAGTGGGATTGCTGGGTCATATGGCAGTTCTATTTCCAGTTTTTTAAGAAATCTCCACACTGTTCTCCATAGCGGCTGTACTAGTGTGCATTCCCACCAACAGTGTAAGAGGGTTCCCTTTTCTCCACACCCTCTCCAGCATTTATTGCTTGTAGACTTTTGGATAGCAGCCATCCTGACTGGCGTATAATGGTACCTCATTGTGGTTTTGATTTGCATTTCTCTAATAATGAGTAATGTTGAGCATCTCTTCATGTGTTTGTTAGTCATCTGTATGTCTTCTTTGGAGAAATGTCTTTTTAGTTCTTTGGCCCATTTTTTGATTGGGTCATTTATTTTTCTGGAATTGAGCTGCAGGAGTTCCTTCTATATTTTTGAGATGAATCCTTTGTCTGTTTCTTCATTTGCTATTATTTTCTCCCATTCTGAAAGCTGTCTTTTCACCTTGCTTGTCGTTTCCTTTGTTGTGCAAAAGCTCTTAATCAGGTCCCATTTGTTTATTTTTGCTTTTATTTCCAATATTCTGAGATGTGGGTCATAGAGGATCTTGCTGTGATTTATGTCTGAGAGTGTTTTGCCTATGTTCTCCTCTAGGAGTTTTATAGTTTCTGATCTTACATTTAGATCTTTAATCCATTTTGAGTTTATTTTTGTGTATGGTGTTAGAAAGTGTTCTAGTTTCATTCTTTTACAAGTGGTTGACCAGTTTTCCCAGCACCACTTGTTAAAGAGATTGTCTTTTCTCCATTGTATATTCTCGCCTCCTTTGTCGAAGATAAGGTGTCCATAGGTGCATGGATTTATCTCTGGGCTTTCTATTTTGTTCCATTGATCTATATTTCTGTCTTTGTGCCAGTACCATACCATCTTGATGACTGTGGCTTTGTAATAGAGCCTGAAGTCAGGCAGGTTGATTCCTCCAGTTCCATTCTTCTTTTTTAAGATTGCTTTGGCTATTCGAGGTTTTTTGTATTTCCATACAAACTGTGAAATTATTTGTTCTAGTTCTGTGAAGAATACCGTTGGTAGCTTGATAGGGATTGCATTGAATCTATAGATTGCTTTGAGTAGTATACTCATTTTCACAATATTGATTCTTCCAATCCATGAACACAGTATATTTCTCCATCTATTTGTGTCCTCTTTGATTTCTTTCATCAGTGTTTTATAGTTTTCTATGTATAGGTATTTTGTTTCTTTAGGTAGATATACTCCTAGGTATTTTATTCTTTTTGTTGCAGTGGTGAATGGAATTGTTTCCTTAATTTCTCTTTCTGTTTTCTTTGTTAGTGTATAGGGATGTAAGGGATTTCTGTGTGTTAATTTTATATCCTGCAACTTTACTATATTCATTGATTAGCTCTAGTAGTTTTCTGGTGGAGTCTTTAGGATTTTCTATGTAGAGGATCATGTCATCTGCAAACAGTGAGAGTTTTACTTCTTCTTTTCCTATCTGGATTCCTTTTATGTCTTTTTCTGCTCTGATTGCTGTGGCCAAAACTTCCAAAACTATGTTGAATAGTAGTGGTGAGAGTGGGCACCCTTGTCTTGTTCCTGACTTTAGGGGAAATGCTTTCAATTTTTCACCATTGAGGATAATATTTGCTGTGGGTTTGTCATATATAGCTTTTATTATGTTGAGGTATGTTCCTTCTATTCCTGCTTTCTGGAGGGTTTTTATCATAAATGGATGTTGAATTTTGTCAAAGGCTTTTTCTGCATCTATTGAGATAATCATATGGTTTTGTTAATGTGGTGTATTACATTGATTGATCTGTGGATATTAAAGAATCCTTGCATTCCTGGGATAAAACCCACTTGGTCATGATGTATGATCTTTTAAATATGTTGTTGGATTCTGTTTGCTAGAATTTTGTTAAGGATTTTTAAATCTTTGTTCATCAGTGATATTGGCCTGCAGTTTTCTTTT